ACAGTCAGGATCATATATAGAGGATTCCTTTGATAGACATTTGATAATGATCATATTTATGTTTATCTCCAGGTGAATACTCATGTAGTCACCGCTGCTCAGAGGAGAAGGAAGAGGACGCTGTGGACAGCTGTGTGGAGTGCTGGGCAAACTCAGAAGACAACACAAAGGGCAAAAATAAAAAGAAGAAAAGAAAAAACAAGCCGTCACTTTGCAGGAGTGAGCATGTGAGTTCCTAGTTGTTTTGGACAAAGTAGCCCCAAGTACTTTTGTATGGGTTGCTTAGATTTTTTTTTTTTTTATCAGTTACTTTCAATGAAGATGCTTCTCGGATAAATTGATCTTGTTGAACAACATCTCTTTCTATATCTGTTTTAATTTAACTTTTTTTATTATTTTTTATAAACAGTTACTGGTTACATAACACATATCATAATAAAGAGAAAAAATTATTATTAAATGATTTTCAAAAGACAAAAAAAATGATTGGTAGAAAAAATAAATATATGTGTGTGTGTGTGTATACATATATATGTATATATATATATATATGTATATGTATGTATATATATATGTATATGGTATATAACAAAGTATTGAGATGAAATTTTGTTATTGACCAAATACTTATTTTCCACCATAATTTGCAAATAAATTCTTTAAAAATCCTTCAATGTGATTTTCTGGATTTTTTTTTCTTCTCATTTTGTCTCTCATAGTTGAGGTATACCTATGATGAAAATTACAGGCCTCTCTCATCTTTTTAAGTGGGAGAACTTGCACAATTGGTGGCTGACTAAATACTTTTTTTCCCCACTGTATATGTATATATATATATATATATATATATATGTATCTAAACCTGACAGCTGTTGCTAATAAGTATTGACACTAGCATCTGATTCAGCAACAATCAAAATATCAAAGCTAAAATGTATGAAATTACTTAATATCCAAATATTCCAGTTCTTTTTAGTGATGCATGCCATCAAGGCACTGGTTGTGATCTTTTCTTCTCTCTCGTAGGGATCTAAAGTGGTAGAGGGCTGTGTATCTGGATCTGCTGCTGTTCACGAGTCCCCCTCCCCTTCACCGCATCTGTGCAGAAGCAAAGAAACTCCGTGCTGTGAATCCTGTGAGAGCTTCTCTCATCATGTGAGCAGCAGCAGGCATTTCCACAGTCAGCCTGTCTTACCGGACACCTGCGTACAGGAAAACAGCTGTGCCAAGAGCCTCACGGAGTTACTGGTGAGTCTGATACAACAAACTGACAAGTTTTTGATCTACGATGTGTGAACCAGTGTTATTTTAGTATTATTTATACACCAATATAATCGTTATGGGCTCTGATACTGCTTTTTTTGTTTACCAGATTTAGCACTATTTTAAGTTCACTTATTTTTACTCACTAAATGATGTTTTTTTCACCAAATATAATGTGGCTGCTGATTTGTCAACTAAACTACTTTATAATATATTCCTATTTTCTCTATGAAGTAGAGTGTATTTCATGGATTGTGTTTAACACATATAAGAGTGATCATCACTCTGGGTGATAGATTATCAGATAGATTATTAAAAACTGGTACTGGTACATCCCTACTTTTTAATTTGCTTTTCAGTTCATAGTTTCAGTTTAGCTTAAGTTTTAGTAGTTTTGTTATGTGCTTTTGTCACATTCATTAGTTTTTTCTTTTTAAATATTTACATATAGCTTTAATTTTTAAATGTTAATAATTTTAGTACTTAAAGGGATAGTTCACCCAAAAATGAAAATGTGATGTTTATCTGCTTACCCCTAGAGCATCCAAGATGTAGCTGACCTTGTTTCTTCAGTAGAACACAAACGAAGATTTTTAAGTCAAACCGTTGCAGTCTGTCAGACTTATAATGCAAGTGGATAGGAGTCACGATTTGAGTCAAAAAAACATACACAAACAAAACCAAATTAAACCCGGCGGCTCGTGACGATACATTGATGTGTATAGACACGAAACGATCGGTCTGTGCAAGAAACTGAACAGTATTTATATAGTTTTTTACCTCTGATGCACTGCAATGTCTGAACTGTCCTGAGCACGTCCTCGACAGCAGGTGCATGACGCGTTTAATTCTTCTTCTTGATTTACGGCAGATCGCAGACTTATAAGTGCATTACCGCCACCTATCTCTCAAATGGACCATTGACACTCCTAATTGAGATTGTAGATAGAGTGTCAATGGTCCATTTGAGAGATAGGTGTCAGTAATGCACTTATAAGTCTGCGATCCGCCATAAAGCAAGAAAGACACATCATGCGCCGGCTGTCGAGAACGCGCTCAGGACAGTTTGGACATTGTGGTGAATCAGAGGTAAAAACGATATAAGTACTGTTCAGTTTCTTGCACAGACCGATCATTTCGTGTCTTTACACATCAATGTATCATCACGAACCATAGGGTTTAATTTGGTTTTGTTTGTTTTTTTGACTCAAATCCGTGATTCCCATTCACTTACACTATAAGACTGACAGACTGCAACGGTTTGACTTAAAAATCTTCGTTTGTGTTCTACTGAAGAAACAAAGTCACCTACATCTTGGATGCCCTGGGGGGTAAGCAGATAAACATCACATTTTCATTTCTGGGTGAACTATCCCTTTAATATTTTTTGGGACTTACACTTTTCAGTTAGATTTCAAGGCAACAATTTCTGCTTGTTTTAGTAAATAGTTTTTATTAGTTTTAAGTCTTTTATAAAAGTCCATATAGCTTTAATTTTTATTTTAGTTTTAGTAATTTAAGAATTTTTAAAGTTCGACGTTACTATACACACACTTTTTTTTTTTTTTTTTTTCAGTTTCTCAGGCATCAATTTTTAAGTTTTTCATCTAATATTAATATTTTATTTCGGCTTTATTTCAAGCGCCGAAAAAGATTTTTTAGTAGTTTTAGTTATTTATTCAACAATAACAACACTAAGTTTGAGCTGACTCTTAAGTCTACCTCTAATAGGTTGATACACTCAATAGTTAAATGTATTGCTGTGGACTGTAGAACAGTGATAGACTGATGATCAGTGATTTTTAAAATTATTGTAAATATTATATCAAGTTTTATATTAAATATTACATTTGATGCTTGCACAGACCTCTGGGATGTATTCCAGTCTAATGATGTACTTATGTCAGTTAATTAAAATGTAATTGTGAAATTGTTTATTACTCACTGCTGTTTGTTTATTGAAGTAGTTGCAAGTAGTGAAGTTTTGTTGTGATTTCTTTGTGAACAGAATGAATCTGAAGTGACCTCAGATGAAGAGAACTGTCTGACGCAGGACGAGATCCAGTCGTTCGTAGAGAACAACAAAACGTTCTACCGCACACGAGACGAGTACAGACAGCACCTTAAAGATCGCTTCACCAAATACTGCCGCGGAGAGTGGCTGCCGGCCACCAGCGTCAACTAGACTCGCCGCCGCACGCGCACACTAGCTCACACTTATTTTTATAGAGTGTCAAAACACTCATGATCACTGCTGCACTGAGTTTGGGATTACAAAATGGGTAAGAGAATCAATTTCAGCGCTGTATTTGATGATGTTCATGTTTGTTGGGTAACGTTACACGTCTTTCGCATCTATATACATGTCTTCCCATTCAGGCCCCTCCTCTTTCACTCTCAATCCTTCTCAACCAATCACAGCTGACTGTTTTCTTTCTCTCTTGACACACTGATTAGGGAGCAGGTGGTTAGGAACACAGCTGTTAAATGGTCATAGAGCTTGCAGGCCTTGACTGTAGGGTTAGGTGTTGGTAGTCTTAATGTATTTTTTGTTAAACATTTCTTTGTGTTTGTTTTTTTTTCCTCCCAAATTTTCACTGACTGTGACCGTCGTAGTGGCAAGAATTGTACCGATAAATGTGTACAGAAATAAATATCTGAATAAAATGATTTTACAAGAAGATGAAAACATCCATTTATAAAGATGATTGGATGTGATGTTGAAAGCATTGTGCAAAATTTACTAAATAAAGAATATTTATTAATATGCATCAGATTTGAATGTGTTTTCTGTGTGTAATTGGGTTTCATAAATGCATGAATTATCATGTTTCTGGGTGTTTGTATTGTTCTGTAGGTTTGTAAATATCCTGTTCGGTTCACATATAAAAATGAGTTCATATAAAGGTTGCTAAAAAAAAATTCTTTACTTTAGAAATTTTTTTTTTTTTTTTTTTTTTTTACTTCTAACCTTGTTATCATCATAAGCCTTGTTAAATGTTAAAAATATAGTCAGCCACTAGATGGTGTTTTGTTCTGCTTTTTCCTCCTACTTCATAAAAGTACAGATAATCATAGTGAGCTAGAAGATTGCTGAAAGCTGAAAAAAGGTTGTACAGTGACCGTAATAAGAATAGGAACGCTGAACCAGTTACTAACAGTTATTGTAGTTAACTAAAACCATCAGCAATGTTACTTGAAATAAATGTGAAATTAAATATTTAAAAACGTATTTTATTTCAGCAACATTTCTCATTTTTATTTCAACTTTAATAGCTAAAACAATAAAAATGACTAAAAAACTATATAGACGTATTTAAAAATAAAATGTAAATGACGAAAACACAATATATAAAAAAATTCAACAATTAAAACAGGAGATATAAAAACTAATTCAAACTATTAATAAAATTATACTAAAAAAAACTGAAAATGAAATTAAAAGCTTGAACTTTGCAAAATATTTGATATTTACGCTTGGTTGTACGTTTATTTTGATTCCTATACTTGCCTCCTCCGGCACCTTTTATTGACTAATTTATATATATATATATATATATATATATATATAAAGTATAAGTAATTTTTGAGTGGTTTATACAAACTTTCATTAACACAGCGGTCGTGTACAGTATCAATTTAGGAGTGAAAAAAAACGTACGGGCGGCGACAGCAACCTAAAGCTTTTTTTTTTCTTATCACCGCCGCCGTTAATAATTAATCGCGGTTCCTGCAGGGATTGGAATCTGGATCCGTCTGTGTCGAGCTGTTCCTGGGTGTTAACCGCAGAAGATCAGGGAGGGCTGGAGTGATTTGTGCCCGCCTTAAACCCGTTCACTGATCCCATTCTGAATCGGAGATACTACTGCACGGGCGCCGCAGTTCTGCTACACTGTTTCAGTCCGGCGCGGATTAGAACGCTCAGTGTTACATTGTGACATCGCGCCGCGCTGACTGTGATACACTGTATCTGCCGCCTCTGATGATGATGAGGATGGAGCGCTGGAGGGGGAGAGTCGCGCTGGTCACCGGGGCGTCTGTCGGCATCGGAGCGGCTGTGGCTCGCGCTCTCGTCCAGCACGGCATGAAGGTGGTCGGCTGCGCGCGGAACGTGGACAAGATCGAGGTAAGCGACGCTCACACGAGCTCTTCGACAGATTGTCACCGCTCAAGGGCCTCGGCGCTGCTTATGTTTGCTCACTGCAGCCAGAGACAATCAAGTGCTTCTCCTCAGGAGACAGACAGTTCATGCTTTATTTAGAAGTTCATTTGGAGCAATGACTGCTCGGCTACAGTCGACCTGTTACAGTGATTGATCGCGTGTGAAGTATTGATAGGCTTCGCCCCGCCCACTTTACACTGCAATGCAAAATCACACTACTGTACATATTGCATGCATTTCAATACGTTTTTACATAATTTCACAAGCCTAGGTGAGTTTAAGGTTGCTTCATGTTACATCGTATAATGCTGAATATACTGTTATTTGAGTTTAGGAGTAGTTCACCCAAAAATGAGCATTTTGTCACTGTTTTCTCAGCTCCATGTCATTTTAAACTCGCACACAAGAGTAGCAGGTATTCTTCAAAACATCTGCTCTTGTCTTTCACATAAGGGGGTTTCGAACAACAGGACAATGAGTAAATGACACTATTTTAAAAACACAAGCACTGATTGTAGAGTAAGTGTCCCTTTAAGTGAGATTCTCACTTCAACATTCCTCAACACTTGCTCATAAGCTGTCAATCAATTAATCATGTCTTATCAATCATAGATGGGATTTTTCATCCTTGCCCTTGAGTAAAACACTCCACCAAACTCTCACAAGCTGTGTAGTTGTGTATACAAGAAACTGAATTTTCATAGCTCAGTGATAATATGTATATGTATGTATTATATTGTTATATTATTAATGATTGTTTTATACTTTATTTACTATATTAAAATGTATTATTATATTATTATAATATATTATTATCGATCTATCTTAGATTAATAATATAATAAATAAAAATATGTGTATGTATAATCTCATTTTTGTTATAATATTATTATATTTTTACATCGTTTATTATATTATTGTATATGATTTTTTATTATAATATAATATGTTTTGTATATTATTATATTAGATATTTTTATATGAATTATCTTAATAATTATATTATAACTTTTTTGTGCCAGTGAAGGATTCATTTTTTAAAAACGCATCTAAATGCTCTTTTTCATGGGGGCTGTATGGTTTACAAGTGCAATTTATTGTTGCATTGTGCCAGATTTATATAACAATAGCTGCTGAAATGTACTGCTGTAAAGATAATTGTGGAAGCTCATAATGACCCGTTATTGCAGATGAACTGTCTCTTTACGCAAACAAGGAAGTCACAAGTTACAGAGATTTTATAGTTGGTATCAAGATTTATTTCAAAAGATAAGGGCGAATTTGACTCCTCATAATATGAGTGCTGCTTTTTTTTTTAATGAAACAAATGCTTTATTTCCTCACTGCTGATATATAGTATGACTTCAAGTGTTTCTGCTCTTTGTTTGTCTGTCTGTACAGTGCAGTCCATTCGTAATGTGTGCTTGCCATATATTGTTATGAAGGACAAAGGTTGAAAGTTATGACATGGTAAAAGCTGCTCAGATTTACTGCAGCACTTTAAAGCTTTGATTTTCCCGATTAGTAAAGGTTTCATTCCTGGAAATCCCTCTTGTGTCATTTTGACAGTCTGTCTGTGTGTGTACATGTAAACCGTCATTGAAGAGCAGAGTCGAGGCTCTTTGCAGGTTTATCAACAACAAAGATAGAGATACAGTAAGTGGTTACTTTACGAGATCCGTATCTGCATAGTGAAACGAGAGACAAGGCGAGCTTTGTGTCCATCCGATCACAAGGCTCCTCTCTAATTGTGTGTGTGTGTGTGTGTGTGTGTGTGACTTCCCACACAGCAGCCTGATGCTTTGACTGGATGTAAAGCAAAAGTGTTGTCACCATACTCAAATCTGACACCAATCCCAGTGAAATCTCACCAGTGGATTTGCCTGTTGGGAACTATTAGTATAGTTGAGCTTTGCAGCCCTGCTTTTGTATTCCAACCAAACAGAGAGACTGGGGAAATCATATAGTAAGGTTTAGATACAGGATAGTGATGAACAAACTGTGGGAGTAATAATGTGGTCGCTATGGGAGATGAGATGGAATGGGAAGCGGGTCTGATGAGGGGCCTTCATTGGCAGCATCCGTTACAGCAGATTCCCATTTTGTGTGTTCCAGGATCAGTTTTTCCCACGGCAACCTTTGAGCTGATGGGTCACTGATCCTGGACACACCAAACTACAACTAACTGCTGTTACGCGCTGTTTCTGTAATCTGCTGTTTCTTTGTGCTCCATTTTTGTGTTTGTATATTTACATACAGTATCTAAAAGTAAGTGTGTGTGTGTGAGTGTGTGTGTGAGTGTGAGTGTGAGTGTGAGTGTGAGTGTGAGTGTGAGTGTTTGTGTGTGTGTGTGTGTGTGTGTGTGTGTGTGTGTGTGTGTACAGGTTTATATATTCTGGTGGGGACTTTAACCTGAATACACACAGACTCATGGGGACTTGTGTCACGGTGGGGACCTAAATTGAGGTCTTGTGAAAAGTGAATTGAGAGTTTTTTTTGAAAATCAAAAAATGCACAAAGTCTCCTGTGAGGGGTAGGGTTGGTGTAGGGCAATAGAATATACGGTCTGTACAGTAGAAAAACCAGTGTGTAAAATATGTGTTTACCTATTAGCCACCTTTCATACACTAGCAAATAGATGGCCTCGGGGCATTATTTATTTATTTATTTTTAATTTGAGCCAAAATATAGATTTTTGCAGAAATATAAAATTTGTGTTTGTTTGTTTTTTTTACAAAAAGTTTGTTACTATTTACACTGCTGGCCATAATAACGTGGAAGAAAATTTGAGTAATGCGTTTTTTTTTCTTACTTCCAAAAGTTGTTACCTTCAACACTGTTAGCCGTAGCAACATCAAACTCTATTAACACATCTGATTAATGGTGCTTTTCAACACCGCTCTGCAAAGCTACACGACTACAGAGGATGGATTGTTGTACAGTATGTACAGTAGTTGCACTACAGCCCAGTCCAGTCAGACAACAGTCTGTTCCATTAATACTACAACTCGCTCCACCCATACTGCTGTGAAAGCTCACGCTCATGTTGCAGCACTGAGCACTGGACGAGCGTTTGTGTCTGTGTTTGGATCGATCTTTATCACTTAATATGAGATACCTGATGCTCCAACATCTTAATCACTTTCCTTCAGTAGCTTTCAGTTGGGTGTAACATTACATCTTTTCAATATCTTGATTTAGGCTGAATCTGCGGCAGTGGAGAGTGTGTCGTTTGCTTGTCCTTCAAGCTCAGTCGATTCCCAGAAAACAAGTGGTGCGTGACACAGTGCATGCAGGCCCTCCACTGGTGTCATGATCTTTACATCACGCATGGAATCAGTAAGCTGGAATATTCCTCTGACCTTGGCAGCACTGAGTGTTTCGTTGTGATCATGGCTGATTGGGATGAACTTTCAGTGGCTTCTCAACTCAACCCAGCACTGCACATTTTGTTTGTCTGCCTTACTCACCTGATCAAGAAACACGAAAGAGAGCCACATGAACCAAACTTGTTCTGTTAGATACTGGATGTTAGCTGAAAATGAGTCTTCTTCATCAGAACAGATTTGGAGAAATGTAGCTTCCCATTAATGGATCATCTGCAGTGAATGGGTGCCGTCAGAATGAGAGTCCAAACAGCTGATAAAAACATCACAATAATCCACACCACTCCAGTCCATCAGTTAACATCTGGTGAAGCCAAAAGCTGTGTGTTTGTAAGAAACAAATCCATCATCAAGATGTACATTTTCAGCCTTTAAATGAGGAAATCATTGAAACATTACACAGATCTTTGCATTGCAGATAAGATCAGAAGAGTATATTCAGTGGTGCTTGGTAAGATCAGTTTGATCCGCAGCACTTTAATCGTGACTTTCAGGCAGTTTACTTTAATTTAGGCTACTCAATTTTCAGTCTTGCATTTTGTGTCTGTGTGAGTGCAGAAATGTTAAATATGTGTGTAGACAATATTAAGCGAATTACACCCACTGCTCCGGGTGTGTGTTCACGGTGTGTGTGTGTTCACTGCTGTGTGTGTGCACTTTGGATGGGTTAAATGCAGAGCACTAATTCCGAGTATGTCACCTCACTTTTCACTTTCACTTATCAAAGCTATGAAAACCTAAAGCGCTTTAATTATGTTATGTTTTTTTTTTTTTATAATGAAGTGTCCTTTACATTTAGTCAGTGATTTTTCATGTCAAATTTCATGTCATTTGTCAGTTCGGTCAAATAATTGAACAAGATATAAATTTGCCATAAATGTTTGACTTCTATCCTATATTCTCCCAAAAGTTCTTATTAACAAGATCTAATTTATCTGTTAACATTAGTCTACAGAATACACACCTTTATTGAAAACATTACAATTTTGGCTGATTAGCCTGCTTATTCTGTTATTATTATTATTGTTATTATTATTACTATTTACACATGAATGAATATGTACAACAAATTATATATAATTATTAATTATATATAATTTGTAAATGAAATTACTGACGGAAATGTTCGTTGACAGACATGGACGTGCAAGTCCTGCAGGTGCAGCACAGCTTATTTATAAATAGCCTATTTACAGACAAACAATAGCCCAGAATGAGTGCAACGGTTAAAGTTTCACATTAAGCATTGCCATCTCCCTCATAGAAAACCGTTAGCTTAAATAAAACACTTAATGTGACTTAGCTATATGGACGAAGACAATCATATAAAAATCCCTAATTTTGGTATGTTTATTAAAAATATGTACTTAACAAGCAGATGAGCCTAGAA